TGGCGGGGGTGGAGGGGTGGAGGGTGCAGTGCCGGCTACAGATGCACAGCCTTGCTCCTTCCACAGAGCCAGAGGACTCCGCTAAACAGCTAGAGAGATCAAGAGATCCCCAGCTAGAGAAGTACCACAAAGTTTTCTGAGCCCGAACTCGAAACTGTCTGGACACCTGATATCTAGGAGAGAGGATCTGGCATTTAGCGCAGTCCTACCATCTTCCCCAGAATAGAACGTACGGTCATTGCGGCAGTATCTGGGCAGAAGTGTGGTCTACATGCAGTGGTAATGATTGTACATTCTATTCAGAAGAAGACGGCGGGAGAATCATCTAAACCAACTTTGGGAACTTTTATCACATTCTTTCCCGCCCAATGAAGATGACATTGTGCAGGCCATCTCGATTTTCTTTCAAGGGGATGAACTTGGACTGATTCTCGCTCACGTTTTTGTGACACCTTAGACACCAAAGCAGCACCAGGTCAAATGGACTTCACAGCAGGGCCACAAGACCCGCAACAGCCAGATGACCTGGAAGTACAAATACAGCCAGATGACCTGGCAGTATTTGCTCAGCGAGACGAGCATGGTTCCACCGAGACGAAAACGCTGAAGCTCCGATGGCATGTGAAAACAGGTGACTGGGCCCAGAAAGGCTGAAGCTCGGAATCCTTCGATACAAACGATGACAAGCAAGGAAGGCTCAATTGCCGTCTGTCCTCGTCCGCACATCGCAGATGGCATCTCTCGCATAAAGGCATCTCTGCATCTAGTATTGCATCTCACTACCTTCTCACCCCCAATACAGCGTACGGTCATTATATATCTGTATTTAGACTGAAAGATACCGCAAATACGGGTACCGTTCCTGTACGTTGTTTTTGGGGGATGAAGGTAGCCGAGTTCCTAAAAGTGGGATTTATCCTGGAGAGCCCTTCTCACTGTGAAACAGGGCGCGGTAAAAGTAATTATCTTTTTTTTTTTTTTTTTTTTACCTCATAGCTTCCCTTTATGGGATTTATCCGGGGAGTAAATTTGTCAATCGCTGGCCTGAACAATGTACCTGCAGACGGATGGCCAGACTGTTTCCCACTAATTGCCCCCCTAATTGGCTCCCCTAAGTGCCTTGCAGCTTCGCCTTCAAGCTAGCGTCTCCATGAGGTATAAATGGGTATATTTCGACTCCACTGTGTGTGTGAGGAACAAAGCGTCGGAAGTCCTTTCTCGGCCTTTTGGTGAGGAGTAATTACAGTCTCTGTTCTGATCAGCTTAAACGACCAGTACACCGGGGGCTGCGGGTGGCTTGCTGTGTGGCAAGCCTTTTTTTTTTTTTTTTTTAACCACTAAGTACCTCTGCCAGTGTTGGGAAAGTACAATGTACTGGTCTGTCCTCGAAGAAATCGGTGGTGGGACCCAGGGTCGGCGAGTCCCATAAATCTTAGTTTTTTTTTGCCCGCTCGTGAAAGAAAAAGGAAAAAAAAAAAAAAAAGCTTATGTACTGCAATGATGTCGGGCAGGGTAGTCTAGGAGGCCGTGCTCTCAATCTTCCTCTATAGAATGCATCGTACAGCAAAGACGGTCACATTCTGAAACTTGTTGTTTTCTTTTTTTATTTCTCGTTTGTTTATTATGAGTCCCCTGCCAACGAGGCAGGGCGGAATCCGTGATCTGTGCTGGCTGTGTTTCCTCAGAGGATTGTAACCCTGATGTATCCAGCCATTTTCACGGAAGAATCCGTGTTTCCCTTTCTTTTTTTTTTTTTTTTTTTTTYTKTTTCCGGAATCTGACAATCTGAATCTGTGATCTGCTCGGGCTGTGTTCCCTCAGAGGATTGTAACCTTCATCACACTGGCACTTAGAGTAACGTATCCAGCCATTTTCACGGCCGAATATGTTTTTCTGTTTTTTTTTTTTGTGTGTGTGTGTTTTTGGAATGTATACAACCGCAATCACGGCAGAGCATTGTTTCCTTTTCTGTTTTTGTGAGTTTCAGAGCTGCAACTTTTCTTTTATTTTTTCCTTTTTTTTTTCTCCCCGTGAGAGTACCATAAAGAAATGGAGTGGGACCTAGGCTCGGCAAACTCAGATCGCAGTGGAATTCAGGGTCAGCAAAAACAAGCTCGGAGGTACTGGTGGTTTAAACCACCAGTACCTTGCTCAGCTATTGAATCCGAGCCTCCAGCACGCTGCGTGCCAAGTCCTGCCGAACCGCCGTTGCAATTTTCTTTTTCGTTTTGCCTGCGGCTTCCAGCCAATGCGGTCCGGCAGGCCGAAGCCCAAATGGCGCGGCGTGTATACGGGAAGCGCCGCGGCCGATAGCTGGGCCAGGTACTGGTGGTTTAAGGGAAAAGTTAGCAAAACTGGACCTTGTGGCCCAGGCTCCGTTTCCATTCTGGGGAGCATCAGTCTGG